CCCCCCTTGGTCGATTTTGATGATTGACACCTCTTTTTAACCGTTAGAGCCAATAGAATCGAGGGGAAGTTCCTCAAATCCATCTAAACATTAGGGATATATTTTTTTTTAAATCCTCTGGAGCAGAGGGAGGAGCTGTGGCTTATTGTTATTGATTAATGCAGCAGTGTTTCTTAGGGTCAAAAACACTAAACTCACAACTTAAAATGAAAGCGTTTAGTTTATTTAATAAAAGAGCACATGTTCAATGTGAAAAGTGACAGTAGATATAGATTAGTTGCAATTTTGTGCTATATATATAAAAAAAAAAAATTATAAAAAAAAAAGAATTATCATTTTTTTTTTTTTAAACACCTTGAATTTCAGGGGGGGGGCGCGGGGCTCCGTTGGCGGGGCTCCATTGGCGGGGCGCAGCGCCCTTCCAAGACAATGGTAGGGGAAACACTGCGATGTGCATCTCCATCACTGAGGCCGATGTGATGCGCATCTCGATACGTTGCCAACGATACGATACATTAACGATACATTTGAAGCACCAGGCGATGCGATACGATACGATTCACCCCTGTTGCGATACAGTTCGATACGATTTGATTCAACATTATGCGATTCAGGGCGATACGATGCGTTTCAACTAGGGATGTTAAGATTCACCGATTCACATCGGTGCACCGGCATGAACGTTCAAAATGCGAGTGCACTGGTTGAAAGAATGCGATCGGCTACAGTTTGGGTTGAACTCGCGATTCATCAATTGTAGCGTCTTTGCATCGTTAAAAAAACGATTCATTCATATAATATCCTCTCATCCTGTCAGCACTCAGCAGAGACGATCTTTGATCTTTGCTTCGCCACTACGGAGGCCGGATTTTTCAAGAAAGATGGACAACTTGAAAAATTAGGCTAGTATGACGTGGGGTCTGCGTCTGAAAAGAAAAACCTGAAAGTAAGACATATGAGTTAAATCACTCAGTGAGGTGTTCTGTCAGTGAGAGTGGTGTTTAGTTTACAACAGACTGTGACTGCCAATAATAGTTTAAATGTCTTCCTTACAATTGTAAGCAGTTATGAAATACCTGTTTGTGAAAGGTTATTTGTATTCTTTATTGTTCATATAGAAACCACTGCTTTCTGCTCACTGGTGAGCTGGTGGTAGTTGTTATTTGCACATTGTTCTGTGAGGTGTTATAACATTGAACTGTACTCTGGAGACAGAGAACACTACTACACTTGTGGAAAGGCGTGTTTGTGAAAGGTCCAAGTGTTTGTTTTTTTTAAGGTAAAAAATAAACAGCATAATGCGCAGTACTAGTAGAGAGAACCAAATATGTAAAGCACTTTTTTATTAATTTATGATTTGCTGCATATAAGGAATAAAACAAAATCCTCTGTCGTACCATATTGAATTGTATCATTATTTTGCATTGTGTTGAATCCAGTGTTAATTTCGTCAACGAAAACTATGACGAAAAATGTTCGTCAACGACCTTTTTTTACATGACTAAGACGAGACGATGACGAGCTAAAAATAGATTCTTGATAACGAAAACTTTGACGAAATGTATATTTAGTTTTCGTTGACGAGACGAGACGGGACTAAGGTGTTAATGGTGGACTATCGGACATTCAAAATGCAGGGTATTTCCCCCCAATTGTCCGTCTTGTCTGTCAAAATGCATCTTACGTTTCTAACTTACAATATCATTATTTCCGCTCTCTTCACTCCAGAAGAGCGATCTCCCTCTCTCTCTCTGTGTGCGGGGGGCGGGGCCTAACAGACACGCTGCAGCGGCTCACAGAGATCTGCCGGGGACGGAGCGTTCAGAGAGTATAGAGACACTCTACATAAGGCTCGATGTGGAAAAAGCTTGTTTGCCATTAGTGTTTTCGCGTCAGCGCGTTGACACGAGTAGAGTAGTCTGTCCAAACAGCCGGCCAAAAGGCGTCATATTCAGTCGGAGAAATGCACAATTTTCGACTTCCTTAACTCGTAGCTCTGTTGCCCCAATTACGAGTAACGTTATCACATCAGGTGTGCAGAGGTGGGAGAAGTAGGCTACTCAGATCTTGTAGTTAAGTAAAAAAATACCATAGTGTAGGAAGAGTTCCTCAAGTAAAAGTATGATCATCAAAATATAGTTAAAGTAGCGACAGTAAAAGTAGTCATTGTGCAGATTGATCCATTTCAGAATAATATGTATATATATTATATATATATATATGATATGTTTTATAATGATTGATCATTAAAGTGTTCTCAAAGCTGATAAAGGTGCAGCTAGTTTGAATGACTTTGTATACTGCAGGGTAGCTTGTGAATTTACTCCAGGTGGAACTAAAGTCTGATTTAACACTTGATTATATTTCACATCATTCATCCAGATCTGTAAAGTAACTAAAGGTATTACATACATGTAGTGGAGTAGAAGTACACCATTTACCTACGAACTGTAGTGGAGTAGAAGTACACAGTAGCAAAACATTTAAATACTCCAGTAAAGTACAAGTACCTCAACATTTTACTCAAGTACAATACAATATTTTAACATAATTATATATATTTCATTTATTTCACATGTAAATAAAGCAATGTTAATTCGGGTAACAATTTGTTAGTTTTTCCCTTTAAAAAATAACAAAAAGTAAAAGTGCATCTCTAAAAGTAGACTAAAACGTTTTGAGTTTTCGTCGACTAAAACTAGACTAAAACTATGAAGGATAGAAATGACTAAAATGTGACTAAAACTAATAAGCATTTTCGTCTAAAGACTAAGACTAAGACTAAATAAAAAACAGCTGCCAAATTTAACACTGGTTGAATCACATCGTATCGCCCCGAATCGCCTAATGTTGAATCAAATCGTATCGAACTGTATCGCAACAGGGGTGAATCATATTGTATCGTATCGCATCGCCTGGTGTTTCAAATGTATCGTTAATGTATCGTATCGTTGGCAACGTATGGAGATGCGCATCGCATCGGCCTCAGTGATGGAGATGCACATCCCTAGATTCAACACAATGCAAAATAATGATACAATTCAATATGGTACGACAGAGGAATTTGTTTTATTCCTTAGCAAATCATAAATTAACAAAAAAGTGCTTTACATATTTGCTTCTCTCTACTAGTACTGCGCATTATGCTGTTTCTTTTTTACCTTAAAAAAACCAAACACTTGGACCTTTCACAAACTGGCCTTTTCATAAGTGTAGTAGTGTTCTCTGTCTCCAGAGTACAGTTCAATGTTATAACACCTCACAGTTAAACAGTTTAAGGATGCATTGCCCAGGATTAACAATGTACAAATAACAACTACCATAGTGCAATGCCCATACAGCTGCTGACTGATGTGCTTAACACTCATTCATAGGCTAACTCACCAGTGAGCAGAAAGCAGTGGTTTCTATAGGAGCAATAAAGAATACAAATAACCTTTCACAAACAGGTATTTCATAACTGCTTACAATTGTCATTGACATTTAAACTATTATTGGCAGTCACAGTCTGCTGTAAACTAAACACCACTCTCACTGACAGAACACCTCACTGAGTGATTTAACTCATATGTCTTCATATGTTTCTTTTCAGACGCAGACCCCACGTCATACTAGCCTACTTGTGTACTTTAAAGCGGCACGGCATCGTTTATAATTTGCGAGCGAATTTTCAAGTTGTCCGTCTTTCTTGTAAAATCCGAAGTGTTGCCAAACGTTTGATTTGTAGGTATTTTTCGGTGCGCTGTGTTTCTCTTTCTCCTCGACTTCCATGTTTGTTGATAACTGAGACTCTCGGCCTCCGTAGTGGCGAAGCAAAGATCAAAGATCGTCTCTGCTGAGTGCTGACAGGATGAGAGGATATTATATGAATGAATCGTTTTTTTACCGATGCATCGCGAGTTCAACCAAACTGTAGCCGATGTGCACTCTTTCAACCGGTGCACTCGCATTTTGAACGTTTATGCCGGTGCACCGATGCGAATCGGTGAATCTTAACATCCCTAGTATATATACTGTATAGTATTGCTGTATCATTTAATCAATAGTTCAAGTTAACACTATATTATATGTGGTTTGCCACTTTTAGGAGTTATGATGTGTTATGTTTGTAACCTGTCATCCCATGTTCACAGGGTAATACTGTCTCAATATCCTTAAAGTCGCCAGTGGTGTTAAAATCCTGAAAGGGTGGAGTCTGCTTTCAATTTCACATCACTACCCAGCTACTTAACAACTGTGGTACAGTTACCATGGCAATCACCCTATCTAAGCTTCTCCCACAATACCTTGCGGCCTCAACATTTACCGTGACACACCATTCGGCCGTTCACGGAAACAACCGATCGTGACCGAGAAATGCATAGTATGTAAGTTATAGTGCTGATTAAGCATTTCAAAACGTATACCCTAACTTGCCAAAGTACTTTGTTCTGAACGTTCAACACTATAATAATCAGAAGGCGACATATGAACGTTACTTTATTACTGTTAACGATCAAATAAAGTCAACACTTCACAGTGTATCTGGGTTGTCTGGGGTTTCTTAAACGTTTTAAGACATGTATGAATGGTGATAAACACAGTGATAGATGTGTAGGCCTAACAAGTTATGCAGATGTTGCACAATTTTTTTTTTTTTTTCAAATATGTTCATAATCATACGTATTTGGATTAATGTGAATAAATACATGTGGACAGGAGGGTGTGTGCAAGCAACCATAAGTTCCACTTTACTTTTTTATTTCAATTCTAACCTTGGTAATAGAAAATAGTTTCCCTGTTGTCCACGTTCATAAAGCCCCCTTTTTTTTTGGACAATTCTACCCAAACCTCAGTTGGTGGTAAACAGAGCCCGGACCTTTACCTCCCTCAGGCCTCTAGCAGGATGTCCATGTGTGAAGGAGATACGGAGGCGTTCTCCTCATTGGTGCTCCGATCTGTTCCCTCCACCTCCATGAACTTCTTGTCTCTCTGACTCTGTTTGCTATGTTTGATTTTAGTTTGTTGACATTGTTGCCCTGTCTTTTTGTTCTCCTCAGCTGGATGGGGACACCATGTTCCTGGGTATGCCAGAAGCCGGCCATGACTTTGCATCAACCAATCAGGTTAGTGTTTATGTGTGTGTGTCTGCGTGTGTGAGACAGAGCCTGAGTGAGGGCCCTCGGAAGCCTTTCCTCTGACATTTCCCAGGTTCTAATTTAATTGAGGGAACTAATTACTTGTGAAAGTGTTGTAACATTCCTCAACACAATTGGTTGTTCTGTATGTTGTCAAAACACTCCACACAAGTGGAATCACTAAGGTGTAAATGTGAACCAATTTGCTGCAAACAAATACATTGCAATGATAACAATTGTGCAAGCATGTCAAATTAAGCGTCTTTGAGCATTAGGAAAGCGCTATAAAAATGTATGTATTATTATTTATTTTTCACACTCACATGATTTTTGCCGAGCTAATTCTATAAACAAACTACATCCCGGTCACATGGCTGCGCATCACCAGCGCTAAGCTAAAGGCTAATGTTGGGCATGATGACGCTTAGTAGTCTCATTTTTTGATACAAAGAAGCTGTGGACATTCACCAGTTGGGTATTTACTGACATATTTTATGTCGTTAACCACAGTTCTTCAAGCTTTAACAAAAAACATGTTTAAAAAAACAATGAGGGAAGTGCATGTGACAAAATGCTGAGTAATTCTGGCTTTAAAGGGGACCTATCATGCAAAATGCACTTTTTGATGTCTTTTATACATAAAGATGTGTCTCCGGTGTGTCAGGGAACTCACGCAGCGTCAGAAAATAAAACCCTCTCTCTGTTCCTCCGTACCCAAATCTCTAAAAACGGGGCTACAACGGAGCTGATCCAGATTTGCTTCCGATTTGACGTCATATCGCCAATACAGACCCACAGCACTATCAGAAACGTTGCTATCGGAAACAATGCCTGACTGTTTTGGACGTAATATGGTCAGTGTTTACATTAGCATCGCTAACACTCAGAGCTAACCTGTACTGCACAGAGCATGTGTGTGAAGAAGCAGGAAATAAAAAGGAACTCACCTTGTGGTATAACCGGCAAGAGAGAAAGCCTTTGAGCTCCATACTGTTTCAGAAACAATCCTTGATAATCCATGATATGGCGTTTCATCACGGCAGTATCTGCCGGTAGAATCTCCCGCATGAGCAGGCATAAGCTCCGCCCCTCTTTTTTTTTTTTTATAAAGCTTTTTACCCAAAATCAGCACTTTTGAAACAGGAAGTGAAATAGAGGGATTTGAGGCATGGCTAGAATGGGTGATCTGTTTGGTATTTTGAGCAAAACACTTCATAGACAATACAAACCCTGAAAAAACTAATAATTACAGTATAGCAGTATAGTTTAAACAATGGTGGTCTATTTGATGAGGAACTTTATCATTCATAAATATTTGGTGTTTTTTTTATTAGTATTTATCCTTTCTCTGAACACTAATCCACATGCACACTGAGCAGCGATGAGTCAGAAATCATGGCGATAACTCTTCCTCACTGTAATGACTCTCTGACCTCATTTACACACAGCTCAGTGGAAATGCATCCAAGAAGCGTTCAAGAATGATTAAAACCCAGGACGCACTGCGGCCAGATGTTGAAAAAGTGTTACTTCATCTATCCCAACAAGATGTTGCCTTCACTGCCCTCACAGAGAGTCTGTTAGCAGACTGAATATCTGAATACATCCAGGGGCTGTCTCCGCTGTCCTCACTGCTACAGATGATTCAAAAAGGAGATATAAATATCATCTGATTCCTGGTCACATCAAAAATGACCCAGAGCCTCTGCAGCTTTAATTCTGACTTAATGTAAACTGCAGCTTAGTTAAAAGAAATAAATTCACTATTCCATCAATGTTTAGGTCCTAAATCTGTATAACCCAAACCGTAAATTGGGATTTTTAAAACTTAACTAATAGACCGGATTTGCCTTTGTTTTTAAACATATACAGTAGAGTACAGAAGGGGCCAAGCTTAACACAATATTCTTCAAACTTAAAAAATTAGGTTGACTTTTGCTGAGCACGGCATATGAATGATACATTGGTTTGTGTTTCAATTATCTTCAAATGTTAACTGTATGATTGAATATTAATCTATGATCAAAGTATCATTATTTTCAGCGCAACTTTTATTATGAGTAAAGATTGTGTAATAATAATAATAATACATTTTATTTATCAAGCGCTTTATCAGGTGCTCAAAGACACTTAACAGAGATAAAAAAGAAACAATGATTAATAAATAAGATAAAACGCCAGATTAAACTTGAGCTTATAAAACAACATTTAGCACACATTAAAAGCCAGTCTGAAAAGGTGAGTTTTGGTCAGTGTCTTGGTATATTTGTATTAGGTTAATGAATTTATAACTGTCCAGAATGTCCTAAAATAGTGCTGATTCAACCCCCGAGCCCCTGACACAGTAACAGGATAAGAAGTGAAGAGGATGGATACACGGGTGGACATTTCCACCGGAGAACCCTGAGTCCAGTGCACAAAGTGAGATTGAGCTTTAAGGGTAGTTGATGGTGTATGTACAGCTGTCGTGTTATGTCACCTCCGTGCCATGACCAACGTATTAAAGATCAGCTGTTTTTAGATCACTAAGCAACAGTCGTGGAACAGCACTATGCAGCAAACACTGTTTTATATGGCTGTTGGCGTCACTGCTTTTAAATCCTAGTGAAGCCTCTGGAGAGGAACGTGTGTGTTTGTTAGTGCACAGTTACCTCACCAGCCAGCACGGCCCATATTAATAAGAAACACCATCAGAGATACATTATTCATAGGGTACCATGTAGGAAATATTGTATAGGAGTCTATGATTTGATGTTTTATTCATGGTACCATAAGAAGATGAGGAGTGGTGTGTGGAATAAGAATTTATGGCTTTATTATTGAAGTACCATTTCTTTCATAAAGTCAGGGGTTGTTGTGATGAATGTCACCAATTTCAGACCAGTTTAACCCTCTCTGCAGCAACATGATGCAACAATAATAATAATACAAATAAATAAGTAAGAACAATTAAGATTCAAGACCAATTTAAAAGAAGATGTTGCTAATAACACTGCAACAATAAATAATATAAATAAAAACCTATAAGATAAAGGAATAAATAAAACATTATAAAAATAAATAAATAATAAAGATTAAAGGACCAATTAAAAAAATTAAAACATTTGAAAGAAACATCTGCAAATCTTAGCTAAATACCCAGCAGGAACACTTTTGTTTCCTTTATTTAATGCATTAGTGTCTAAAAGTAGTAAAATGCACTAAAAGGAGGAGAGACAAGAGGAGGGGCTTAAGGGATAACTGATGTGTGCATGCTCTATGAGCTCATATACCGGTACTTTTGCTCTCGAGAAGCAAGTATGACGAGTAATTTTGACAGATACGGGTACTTTTGTGGCGTTTTGTCTTCATGCGCCACTGAGCAACTCTCATAGGAATGAACAAGACCCCGCCTCCAACGCTGGATAGATGAGAGCAACACATCCGGGTACTTTCCTTCTATGGAAAGGCCACACCCCTTTTTGGGGTGAAACTGTCAATTGAACGGCGGTAAATACAGATTCTGCAGTTTGCTAATAAGCATTTTTCCCTAATATTGACAATTTCCTTGAATCAATATGGTGCCTGCCAGCTCCTCAGTGTATGGTTGTAGAGAGAGGCTTCCAGGTGTGACTGTACACATATTAACACATTAGTAGGCTCCTGGTGTTAAAACTGAACATACTGATCACCACCCATAGGAAACATGTATTTTGTTGTTTCCTATAGAAAACACACTTCTATAAAACATGAACTGCTCAAACTAACCCGCCTGTTTGTGTGGTGTTGTGTAGTGCTGATGATATTTTATGTGTTTGTCTTTCCTCACTGCAGCTGGTTGTAACCTGCTGTTATCAGGGATTAGCTGTGGAGGGAATGAACCAGCAATTTATTTACAGCCTCTGTCTCTTATCTCTCTCCTCTGAACGACTCTCTAAATCTCTTTTTATTTCAACTCAGTTTAGTTGAAGCAGTTAGTTGGTGGAACATTTAAAGCATTGCTGGAAAAAGTATCCTGATTCTTTGCCTGAGTAAAAGTACTAATACCACACTGTTAAAATACTCAATTTCAAGTAATAGAACTGCATCGAGAATGGTACCGAAGTCATTTCTGAAAAAACTAAAAATGTATTAAATATTTTAAAGCAAAAGCAGCACATCTTCACATTTAAGAAGCTGGAACTGAAATATTATTTAACCAAAACGTTATGGCAAAATTGCTACAAATTAATTATCTGTTAATCCACTCATCGTTTTATTTACCTAAATATAATGTTGGATTGTTTAATCTATACCAAATAATCATATTTTCAAAGTGTTTCCCTAGTATTGTGTGTCAAAAGCTCAATTTATAAAGTGTGTGTGTGTGTGTGTGTGTGTGTGTGTGTGTGTGTGTGTGTGTGTGTGTCTCCCCCCCTCTCTCTTTGTCCTTGCTCCTCACCATGACCTCTTCCTGTGACCCTGGTCTCTGCGTCCATATCAACCTTTGTCTGTCTTTGTGATTTTTCCCACAGTTTCGTGTGCCTCAGCCCCCCCACCCTCTCAGCAAGGGGACGCAATCCAACCAGCCCTCCCAGCACTGGAGGAGGGACACACACATGCCCGACACACACCGTCTGCCCTGGGTAAACGCACACACACACACACACACACACACACACACACACACACACACACACACACACACACACACACACTTACACACACACACATCACACGCACACAGCAATGTCAGGGCAACACAGATGACTGTATAAGTCAGTTAACTCTCACACACAGTGATCATGTTGGCTGTATCCTGGTGACACCACCTCTCATATTAATCAGCTGCTCCACCTTCTCTATAGCTTACATAAGCACTTGCCCTGATCCCTGCTACCTGTGCTACTTTGAATAAAACATTATCGTCACGTTTTTAGAGCTTGGTATCCAATTGGTTATAGAGTGGTGCAGGGATGACGTATTTACCCGGAAGTAAGCTGCTGGTTCCCATGACAAAAAAGCAATGGGATTTCTCCATAGGATTTTGGAAAATAGCTCAAAATAAGGTCTGTGGAAAACGAAGCTGTTTGATAAATGCATGTTTTGTTCAGCTGGATAATACCCACATGTATAACCTACTTTTATAATTTTCTAATCATAAATCTAATCGCCAGAAGCAAAATGCTAACATTATGCTAATCGAACTACAGCAGGGTCGCTGCTTCAACGTCACGCCAACTTAAGATCCATATTCAAACATACAGATTCTAAATTGTACAAGTTGAAGCGTTTGTTTGAACAGTTAGCAGGAGGCAGGTACTTGCTTTCAAGCAGAACAGGGCAAACAAACTTAGAGGAGTGTTTACGTGTTCGGCGTAATGACGTACAACGTCCTCCACAACTTCTGTAGTCCTATTCAGCCACTTGGTAACAACCATCGTTTTTCAGACACGTAAACTCTTCAAAAATCACCAGTGGGGTCACTGCTGATGGATTTAATGTCCTAGAACAAAACGTGATCCGTCTCTTCAATTTTCCAGCTATTTTCCAAAATCCTATGGAGAAATCCCATTGGTAAAATGCTAACTCACTTCCTGGTTTTAGGACTCGTCACTGCACCACTCTATTGTGACATTAAGTTACATCTGAACACTTTTCAATGTTTTGCTACTTGTACTTCTACTCAACTACAATTCAGAGGTAAATGGTCCACTTTTACTCCCCTACATGTATTTACCTTTATTACTTTACAGATGTGGATGAATGATGTGAAATATAATCAAGTGTTAAATCAGACTTTAGTTCCACCTGGAGTAAATCCACAAGCTACCCTGCAGTATACAAAGTCATTCAAACTAACTGCACCTTTACCAGCAATAATAAAAAAGAAAAACAGACATTAGTAATAGAATCAGGAATAAAGACCGATAAGTACACAACCATGGCAAAAAAAAATATGTGATGCAGCAATTTAAGTAAAACTAATACCCCTTTCACACCAACGCGGTTCCAGGGCCGGTTCTGAGCTGGAGCTTGAAAAGCACCGGTTTTCCCTGTTCACACCGCAGCGGAGCAGCCTCTAAGCTCCGGAATCCGGTTCGTTTCGAGCACCAAAAAGTTGTCTGTCTAGAAGCAAGAACCGCATACGTCACGCTTATGTCGGAGGGGGGCGAGATTAACCTGAGCTAACAGTTAAGGCGAGTACGGCAAATAAAAGTTGTAACAAGCAGTAGTGCTGAGCAAAGTGACTAGAACGCAACCACACACTTGTAAAAAAAAAAACACGCTTTATAAAGTCAGGCAACACTAACCAGGCTTCGTGTGATTCTGTTTATTTGTACCTTACTTTGACCATCCGTTCGCTGTTATTGATCATTGTGGAGAGCAGGCAGACGTTTTGTTTGTTATTATAGCAGCTATCGGATGGAATCAATACATGGGCTGCACAGGTTGTCATGTCCGACTATCACAAGTAGAATCATAATGAAAAATACGCCGGTAAAATGTGCCTGTAGAAAACGGCTTAGCAGGTAGTCAGTTTAGCTTCGGTTGCTATGCTAACATCACCCATGTTATACCAGAGAAACGTTCATAACAGCGTTGTGATGCCAAACAGCGTCAATTCAGACTGACACACATTCACTTAAGGGGAACTGGGGATATGTATCAGCTGCTTGTGTGACAGTCAGACAGTGAATACTTTAGAGCCGTGTGAGCTAACCCGGAGCTAACGGGAGAATAAACTCCCGTGGAAGAGCAGCCAGCACTGCAGCGGTCGGTAAATGCCGCTGAAACACATTAATAAACAATGAACCACGGCACTCTGGAGAAAAGTATAAGGTTGGAGAAGTCGTTATTTAATTTAATCTGGCTTCGTATGATTAAAAGCAACACGATCATCGACCCGACGCAGTCCCCCATTGTTGTTGTAGTGAGCTCCGTTGGGGAGAAAATCAGCGACGTAAACTGTGACGTCATGACGCAGCAGCGGCAGCACCAGTCGGGCTCTGAGCGGTGTGAACAGAGCGGGAGCTGAACCGAAGAACCGGTTCTGAACCAGAAAAGCTCTAGCACGGAGCTAGAACGGGAAAAGCCTTGGTGTGAAAGGGGTATAAGTGAGGTAAATAGCATATTAAAGAAATACTTTAATATGCTATTTACCTCACTTAGTTTTACATAAATTACAAATCCAAAATGTTACTCAAGTACTTTTTACTTGTAACAGAGTTTTCATACACTCTGGTACTTTTACTTTTACCAAGATCTGAGTTCTTCCACCTCTGCTCAGATATGATTTTACCCAACCTCTGATTGACTCTGTTCTACCTGCAGGTTGGCAAAAGGTTCCACAGTAACATTAACTCATTTTACCAGTGTTATCCATTATTTTATTGGCTAAAATTAGCTCCACATACCTCATTGGTTGGAGCCGGCAGCCCTTGTACTGGGCTCAGTCTGGGTGCGGCCGACCCGGCTTAAAATGTGCCCTGTGGTCCCTTACGTATGTCACCCCCTCTTTCTCAACCTTTTAACACTTAAACTGTATAATAAACACTAAACTGGCCAAAAATAGTTTTTAAAATGTGTGTGTGGGAATATTTCCGTTGCCCCAACTTCTCCAACACAGCTTCTCTCCATCTGATCGCTTTACATCAGTTTCACAAATCAAATTCAACTTGACTTATTATTGATATTTTACACCAATCAACTCAACTAGAGCCTTATTTATATCACCAAGGTCAAGCAAACAATGAAAGGAGATGAAAAGCCTACATGTGGTATTTCAAGGGTTCAGATAAATATGTGTCAGTGTTTGAGTCCATATGTGTGACTGTGTCTCTGTCCTGTACGTGGGGCAACATGTCCAGTATTGTAGACATGAGCATTACAAAGGTCTGAACGCTTTTGTAAAGGCTAATACAGTGAACCTTTTACAGAAGCCACTGCGCTTCGTGTAGTGAACATTTTACCTGGTCTGAGCAAAGAGGACGCCCAATCACAAATCACAGTTATCACTCACATGAATCCTGCACTGTGCTGCTTTATTATCATATTCCACATACTGCTATGAGGCATCATGTAAAGGGTTGAACACAATGTAGATAATAGACATAAATATGCATACTGCCTGCCGTTTATATTTGTCTCTCTCACACACACAACCACACCCCCTCTATCAGACAGTATTATTTGATGGAGAGAACAATGATGAAATGGAATGACAAACATGTCCATCAGGCATTCATCAAATACACTCTGTACCTTCTGTCAGGGTGTTTGTGTGTGTTTTAATGCAGCACACACTCTTTTTAAAAGGTCTGTTCTTTAGAATAGGGACAAAGGAGGCAGACAGATAGGTATTCAGATGATGTGACCCTCAGCTACTGTATGGGTGCTGTGTAACAGTGACACAAGATAAGAGACACCGCTGGGAGAGCATACAGCATGTACACATCGGCCCAGATTTCTCAAATGACCTTTTTTAACTCAAAACATAAAATTGTAGACGCCAGTAAAAAAGGGGTGTGCGCAGAACTTTAAAAATACCAGCTATTACAATTTGATATTTAGAGAATTAAATACATTATGCTTATAAATATGCCCAGTAAAAATGCACTAGATCAGCGGTTTTCAAAGTGTGAGGTGCGCCTCCCCGGGGGGCGCCAGAGAGCTTCAGGGGAGGCGCAGCGTGAGAAAAAAATAACGAGAATTTCAGCTAGTTAACTTCAGCTAACTTTATGCGAGCGGCGACATGGATCGATTTTTAGTGAAGTTACCTAAAGTGAGAGAGGAGACAGCATCTGGCAGAAAACGTCACTTGCACACTTTTGGCAAAATACCACCCCAGTTGGCAGCTTTGTTTTGAAATAAAAGTTGTGGCTCATCGGACATTTATGAGAGAAAATCCCTAATGTCCGCGTGCAAGTTAATGCAGCACAAGACGCGAGCCTTGTAACCCCTCCCTCCCCTGTCGCGAGCGTGGAAATGTGATTGGCGGCGATTTCATTTGAATGGGACGGCGCAAAGCGAGAAGCATTCGGACCCCAAGCAGACGGAAGGAATTAGGTATTTGCGGTCTACAATGACAGAGAAGAGACTGTGAAGTTTGGCTGTACTCAGCATTGAATCAAAACGCACTAAAGCTGTTGATCTTAATCAGTTTGTGAGGCGTTTTGCTGAACAACATGGTAATCGCCGCATTCAGCTGTTATAGGCATGTCAACTTGATGCTCTGCTCACGGATGAGCATAAAAAACTGTTAAGATGATGACCTTACGTGTGTAAATATATTTTTTTCTTTGTGGGGGTCTGCCCCCAAAAAACAGTTTTAAGTCCTGAGAAAGTCAAATAAGACGGTGTGTAAAACTACACTGCCCAGCCAAAAAAAAGTAACCACTTTGATTTACTAGGCCAGTAGGTAAGGACTTTCCACTGGATAACAATACCCCTGCATTATAGCAACAACAACAACAATAATAATAATAGCAATAATAATTGGGAGGGGGGGCGCGGCTGTTCTTATGTTCTCTGAGGGGAGGCTCACCTTCCCACACTTTGAAAACCCCTGCACTAAATCATCAAATAACCTCTGAAATACATTTTAATATACCTCAATTAAATTACCCTGATCAGATATCGTCAC